GCACAAATAAAATAACGGATAGTCGCATGCTTAATTTTTGAACGAAGTGGCTGTGTTTCCAGTTTGTACGGGTTCAAGACAGGCCTAGCAAAGTAAAGAAAAAAGTCAGTATTACCTCGAACGATGAGGTTCACAAAAATGGGGAACTGCTCCTCACAGGCCTGAGTCCCACTCAAATTCGCCTCGGACTATCCCTGCAGACGGTTCCCCTCAGCCCGATAGTTGAGTGTAGTTATGTCCTTGGCTTAATCCCCAAGAGGGTGAGAAAAAGGCTCCGACAGAAAAAAAAACACCAAATAATAAATAATAAACCCCACCACCGTATAAAAGCGCAACTTTGCGTGTGAAACTGATTCACAAAATCGGCACCAGAGCACCGGAAATAGCACCAAGTCACCTTCAGCTCTCATATTTACGGTTGGCAAAAATTCTAAAAAATGACGTCGAACGAGATGTAGAGTACGATTTTCTACCACAAAATTATTAGACCATGAGAAGTGTTTTATCACTAAAAATAAAATTCGATATTTTCAAGAACGGCTATAAAATTATTATTCTAAATGAGAAAAACCTTGTAGTAATTCACTTTATCAAGTTGTACTTAATTTTAAGTAGACCATAAAAAGAAACTGTAACACCACCATCCCTTCCCAAAGGGAAAATTCCCGAATTTTTCCTAAAATACAAGTAAGGGAATTTGAAAGAAGGTGATTATATTGCCAGAAAAATGATATTAAAAAAAAGAAACTACTCAAATCGTCAAAAGCAACAATCCGACAACATAAGCCCATTAAGCATAGCGATAACACTCTCACCAAACGTATATCAAACGTGTTTAGCCAGGTTCCGCTTTACCCAAGCAGCATGGGAAACCTCATTCACTGGCCTTATACAGAATGAACCCAAAAAGGACCCCAAAGCTCACAACGGCAACAAGGAAGAGAGACAGGTAATAAAGAGAACCAAGAAAACTGAAAAAAAAGTTTAACCTCAAGACCCACCAAACAAGAGGGGGTAAGATATAGCACTACCAGGCTGAAAGATGCACACAACTAATATAGGCATCAGAATATTGGCCAGAAGCAAACAAAAAGAAATAGGCTGTTCCAAGTTGTACCACTGCAAACAGCCTACCAGAAAATACCGGGGGTCTACGACAGGGCTGAGTTGAAAGTACAGTAGCAGTGGCCAGTTTTTGGCAACCATGTTGTGGGGGTGGCAAAACACATTCCCATCTGAAATACCAACCAAAAACCGCCCCCCGTACTCACACTCCCAAACGTATAATTTTGTGGCCGGAAGGTAAGAACAAAGGGTTCTGCCACATGTAAACACCCAATACAACACAGCCTTTAGAAAACAAAACCTAATTTTGACCCAGGATAACCAGTAAAGGGAGGAGAAAATGTCAGTATTGACATTACATAAGAAAACATCGTAGGTGCTGACATATCTAGCTATAATCTATCCAACGAACGGATGGAGTAATAAATCAACTGACCGGCACGCGCCTCGTTCCTATTGATCCGTTTTCGGTAGATAAGCCGCCAAGTTCACAATAGCTCTTCCGAAGAAGAATTTCCGAAGGTCTGTGGCGTACGGTTGTACTTTTGATGTGCTCCATTCATTTTTGTGAGACAACTCTTAAAAGGATATTTCGACATGAGTGCCTTATTAGACGAGAGCCAATTACCAAGAAAACGGGCAAAATGAGATTTGTCGGTTGCTGAAAAAGAAACTATTATAAATATTTACATAGCTTCTCGGGACCGCTATCCAACTGAAACTCAGACAGAACGTGTAGCTTTTGTTAGTAGTTAGTAGTGTAGAACTCCAACAAAACAAAGAGGGTGTGTCGTGTTGTACCACTGTAAGCAGCCTACCAGAAGGAAAAACCTGGGTTCACAACGGCTGATATGAAGGTACAGTAGATATTGTCAGTTTTGGCAACTACGTTATGGAAGTAGTTAATATTATATTTACATCCCCTCTGAAGTACCAACTGAATAACGACCTCTTTACTCATCGTACTAAACGTCGATGGATTTGTGGCAGCACGAAAGGCAAAAACAAGGTTTTTGGTACTTATAGACATCCAATACAATACAACCTCCATAAAGTAAAACCAATTTTGATCTCAGGTAACTAGCGAAGTCAAAAATATGTACTATCGAAATTAGTAAGCAACAAATCATGAAGTCTGATATAACAAGCTAGAACTTGGAGAGAAAAGTTGGTACGTTAAAGTGAAAACTAACCTGCCCAAAACCCAAAATCTTAAAAATAACAAAACTTTGGCAGGCTAACGTATGAGTTAAGAGTAGACAACAAACCTAGAAGTAATATTATATAAAGATGTTAGAGAATATTACTCCAGTACTTCCTGGATGTTTACCACTTCCTGGTTCTCGGAGGAAAAGGATTCTACCCATTGGTAAAGTTGTGTAAGGCTATCAGTGTTTCCGCAACGCTAGCCAAGCACAGCCTACCAAACGCCCCTCTTCCAGCGCGGAAAATATATTCAATAACTAAGTAGGTGCGACATATGGGTTTAGATCTTGCATATTTGCCATTGTTGTCCTCTAACTCATACACACAAAAAACACGTTAGCGTTTGATTCCAACAGGACCTTTAAATTTGTTCGCCAATTTGACCGAGAAGTAGTTCCCTGCATCAGACAGATCGAATGTTCTCTTTAAAACTAAACCACGTAAAAAGCCTTCTGTAATATTTCCGACACCATTTTGAGAAGTTTTGCTAGGCTTTCAACCCTTCGATTTAAGTCCTGATCATTTGAGTCGTCCGATACCTTGACGTTATATTCAACCCCCTGAAGTATCATTTTAGTGCCACAGTTTATAAAATAAGGAGTTTTCCCAGTGCCCTCATGAACGGCAGTGTTAACGGCGCACTCAAAAGATTGTAATTTTTCATCCCATATCTTTCACAAAAGCTTGCAATATTGTCTTTAGAACGCGGTTTACTCGTTTAGTTAAATTTGGAGATGGATGATAATTGGGATTGTATAAAATTTTAAATCTATATTTATTTGCAAGATTTTCAAATAATTTACTCTTGAACTGCACGCCATTATCATGTCGAACGATTTCTGGGACACCATGGGTTAGAAATATTTTTTCCTCAACCAATTCAACCACAGAATCAGCGGTTGCACACTTAATTTTGAAGAAATGATTGTACTTGCTGAATGTGTCTGTGACAGCAAATATGTGCATATTCCTGTTTACTCTTCGTAAGCGGCCCAAACAAATCCATACTAACAATTTGCCAGCAACGCTTTGCAAGGACGGAACCATCCATAAGACCCGCAGGTGCCTTCTGTTCTGGTTTGACCCTCTGACAAACCTGACATTCTCTAACAAATCTGGTGATATCAGCTCTCATACAAGGCCTCATACAAGACATTTTCTGAGCATCAAAATGACCTGTTGTTTCTCTCTGTCATCCTGTCGTAATTCAAGTCCTGTTTGACATATTTATAAATTTTGTTGTTACATACACGCTACACTGGAAAATCAAGTGAATTTTCCAGAATTTTGTTTCTCAGTGGAATATACCAACCATCTTTAATATTTCCAACCTCAATAGAAATGTTAGAAAGTCTTCAATGAAATGGGGTACCGCACGAGAAAGAGTGTCTGGTATAACATGTTCACGACCTTTACGGTGGATAATAGTGAAAGAAAATTACTGCAGTCTTAAAACTCATCTGCTAAGTCGTCCTTGTGGATTTTTCAAATTGTGAAGCCACTGCAATGAATGGTGATCAGTGACTACTAAGAACTTAGCACCTTCAAGATAAAAACGAAGTTTTTCGGCAGCAAATAAAACTGCAAGCAATTTTCGCTCAGTAGCCGAATTTTACTCTTTCTTCTTCAAGATAAAAACGAAGTTTTTCGGCAGCAAATAAAACTGCAAGCAATTTTCCCTCAGTAGCCGAATTTTACTCTTTCTTCTCGAGTCAAGGTTCGAGTCACATAACAAATGACATGTCTCTTGCCATTAAATTGAGACAGCACAGCTCAGACTCCATAAGCACTTGCATCCGTTTGCAAAATAAATTATGGTTAAAATCCGGACACGTCAAAATTCGAGCAGAAATGACAGCTTTCTAAATTCCTCAAAAGCATTTTCGCACGATTCATCCCATTCAAACTCAACCCCCTTTCGAAGAAATTCAGTTAAAGGTGAAATACTAGGGATGTCTTTTAAGTTTTGCATATAGAAACATAGTAGGCCGCGCGGATCGAACGTCAGTACTTACTCTTAACCTTACTCTTTAGTAAACTTAAATTCAAAGTTTCACAACAATACGTGCAGTGTTCTCACTACAGTGAATTTTTAAGTGTCACCAAGACATTAGAAAAATGTAACTCAACCGAGAACATTTTCGCGCCATAATTTATTACAAGTTTCAGAGACAATTATCGCAACAAGAATGCCTTGCTGAGTTACTGTCTGTTTTCGGCAACGAAGCGCCACATCAGTCGACAATTTCCCGTTGCTATGAAGAACTCAAACGTGGACGGCTGAGTCTTAGCGACGATCCCAGGGTGGGTGCACAAAAAACGGCAGCCACCCAGGAAAACGTCGATACTGTGCGCAAACTAATCATTGAAGATAGACATGTGACATATCGCGAGATTGAGGCGTTCTTGAAGATCTCAAAGACCTCAAATAAACAAAAATTACATGAAGAATTAGGGGTAAGAAAATTAGTTTCTCGTTGGATACCCCACCTGTTGACTGAAGAGCAGAAAGCAGCCAGGGTTAATTGGTGTCAAAAAACGCTTGACCGTTTCAATTCCGGAAACTCAAAAAATGTGTACAGCATTGTTAATGGTGATGAATCGTGGATTTAGTGTTATGAACCAGAAAATAAACGACAGTCGGCTGTTTGGGTGTTCCAAGGTGAAGAAAAGCCTACAAAAGTCATTCGTTCTCGAAGTGTTTCGAAAAAGATGGTCGCGACATTTGTGTCAAAAGCGGGTCATATGGCAACAATTCCTCTTAATGAGCAAAGAACTGTTACTGCGGATTGGTATACCACCATTTGTTTGTCAAAGCTTCGAAAAATCAACCCCGAAAGAAGAATCATCCTCCACCAAGACAATGCAAGCTCGCACACAGCCCAAAAAACAAGGCAGTATTTAACGGAAGAAAACGTGGAATTATTGGACCATCCTCCATATAGTCCCGATCTAAGTCCTAACAATTTCTTTACTTTCCCGAAAATTAAAAACAGACTGTGTGATCAAAGGTTCCAGTCGCCAGAAGAAGCAGTTGACGCATTCAAAAATGCCGTTTTGGATCTGCCAGCAAACGAGTGTAATAAGTGCTTCGAAAATTGGTTCGAGCGCATGCAGATGTGTATTAATCTTCGTGGAAAATACTTCGAAAAACAATAAAGTCATTAAAAACTACCTACCGTGTTGTTTTATTTCCATATGCAAAACTTAAAAGATATCCCTCGTAACATCTGAAAAGCTAGGTATAAACCTACCATACCAGAAAACGATACGTATTATTTTGCGAACTTCTCTCACATTTTTAGGAACAGTGAAGTTAGTAGTTGCCTCTGTCCTCCGTCAGCTTATAAGTAAAGCAATTAAAATGTTACTTGAGAACCACATGAATATTTTACCTCGCGAGCATGGTTTACTCAAATTTCAGTAAATATACAACCAATATGAGAAGCTACCGCCATAAAAAAATAAGACTATATTATTCTCAGTGTATGTACTATGATACAAAACAACATATTAATGTTACCAATGAGAAATCCTTCTAAATAAGTTGATGAATTAATAGTTTTTGGCGAATTCCATATTGACCTAAAAACAATGGATAATTAAATGGTTAAAGTATAACCCTAATGTTACATACTTATGACATGCTCTTTATTCTTTTTTCTATGTTTAATTTCTTATCTCTGTTTGGAGTTTATAGCTTTCGCTCAACTGTTCTTTTATGTATAATAATAGTAACCATTTACCAATGAACATATCCACAAAGTCCTTCAGTTGATATGTTAGAAACTAACTTCGTTATTAGTCAGAAAATTAGATACAGTTACTCTTCAAAAATAATTTCGTTTTGTTCCATGTATTATATACAATTAGCCCAAGTTCATATTAGTTTATTATCAGCCATGAAAGACATCGAAATAATCCAAAAGTCAATTTTCAACGACACTGATGACAGTACAATTTCAGATAAAAGACTACGACAGTTTCTTTTTATGGTCGACTAAAAATTAACTACATCTTGATAAAGTAAATTATTACAACATGTTTCTCATTTAGAATAATAATTTAAAGCCGTTTTTAAAAATATCGAATTTTATTTTTCACCTCCTGGTCTAATAATTATGTGGTCGAAAATCGTACTCTAATCTCCATCTCGTTGAAGGATTATAGAGTGGTGGGTTTTTTTATTAGAAATCACTTGGTGTTTTTTATCGGAGCCTTTTTCTCACCCTCTTGGGGATTCAGCCGTGGACATAACTACACTCGACCATTGAGCTAAGAGGAGCCGTCTGCAGGGATAGTACGAGGCGAATTTGAGTGGAACTCACGCCTGTGAGGAGCAGTTCCCCATTTTTGTGAACCCTCATTGTTCGAGGCAATTATGACTTTTTCTTTGCTAGGCTTGTCTTAATCTCGTACAAAAATTAAATATGAGACTATCCGAAATTTTATTTATGCCAGTTTAGGCGTTCTCATGTAACACTAGGGTTATACTTTAACCATTTAATTATTATATTGGTTGTATATTTACTTAAATTTTAGAGAGCCATGCTTACGAGGTAAAATATTTCTGTTGTTTTCAAGTAACATTTTAATTGCTTTACTTATAAGCTGAGGGAGGACAGAGGCAATTAACAATCTATTAACAATGTCATTACACCCTTTTTCCACTGTTGATGTGGGGTCTCTATTGATTAAGTATAGGAATCATCATTATCAATTAAGTTGTTGCATAAATCAGAGTATTGTTGCCTGAGCATTAGTACAGAGACATTTCCTTTGTCAGATCGCGTAACCATTAGTTCAGGATGTCTTTGAGGATTTTTTTAGTTTTGTTCAATAGGTTGTCATAGAAAGAATGTAATTTACCAATCTGTCAATCCTGCGAATATTGGAATTTTTGATATTATGGAACAGTGTTATAATGCCTTAATTGCATAGATTGAAAATTAGAGGAGATGTAGGAGAATATATATTATTTTTTAATGATGTAAGAGGAATTAAGGTTTTTTAGCTGTTTATGACAGGAAGAAATCTCAAGTGTTTAAATCCTTTCTCCTAACCTTTCTTCTGCCAAATGGTTGTGTTATAATACGGTAATTCGGGGCCCATCTTACACAAATGTAATAATTTGTCGCTAGTCAGAGACATCTTACAAGAAATCGACAAAATCCGTTAGATCCATTACTTCGCTACCACTAAGACGGTTTCTCATTGGTCTAATTTGTACAATAGGCGCAAATTTTGATTCCGTGGCTCAATAGTAAAATTGTCCTAAATTGTCCTGGGCCAGCATATGGGCTATATGCTGGTTTTTCGTGGTGCCATCTTAAAGTTTGGAATGATGGCTTCACACAATCTCGACATGTTACGGACCTTTTAGACTGTTGTAGTAAAACACACTGTATAGGAATCTGAAAATGAATAGAAAAAACAAACGAAGGGTCACCTGGTAGACAAATAAATAATATATTGTTAAAAAGTGTCATATTTGCTATCACAATATCATTGAAACTACCCTTAGTTTACTGAAGATGGTTTCATTGAGGAAACTATAGAGAATTTCAACAAACTTGTGCCATAAAGTGATTTTGTGATAAGAATATTACAGCTTGCCTTACTACAAAAACAGTAGACCAATCAGCAAAGGTAAGTCAAATATCATTAATATTATAATGATTTAACTCACTTCATACTATATACTAATATAATAGAATGTGAAATCACTCCACAATGTGTTTACGATATTTTCAGAATGAGAAACATTTTATTTATTCTTTTAAGTGTTCAAATGAGCTTTTTGAGAAGAATATTAACGCTACGAGTATGATGGCTTTTTGACAAGTCGTGTGAAAATATGTGTATGTCTGCTTTTTGGCTTGGAATACTTATTCATTTAAAACTAATAAGTAGCTTTTTTCACTCATAATGGAAGATCAAAACTTATGAACGTTTAGCACTTCGTTTAGCAATCTTAATGTGCGAGTCGGCTTTCTTGAAAGAGACCGTCTGATTTTAAATAGTTGTCATATATTAATAGTGAGAAGCCAAATAGTCTAATCATATTAGTAAATTTTCCCGAAATAATTGGTCTGGTTTTATTTGTGCAAGTTGTTCAAGGAGGTATTTAAAACATGGACCATAAAATGGGTATACCAATTTTTGTAGGAAAACTTTTTATTTGACAACAAAGAATGAGAAAACGTGTTTTTTGGGATTCAATCGAAAGTGTTGATAGGAACGAAAAAACTTTTCATATAAGATTTTTAGGTATTTATGAGACCTACAGAATGAGACCACGCGTGAAAAAATCCGACTACTGTCAAAAATGTTATGGCCGAAAAACGAGTCAAATTTCAGGTGTTGGCACTTGTTGGTAATGCGAAGATAATTTCACGCCACTACCTGAAATTCTTCAAATCCATACGATTCATACGTCTAAATAACAACAACAAAATTGGATCATATTGGTGAAGTAGTTTTTTGACAATTTCTAATTGTTTATCCCAAACCACCTGTTTTCCGGCCATCACTACTAATTTATTGAGCAATATCCAGGGTTCGTTCAAAGAGCATTTAATAGCAAAATACACGAGTTTACCTTTAAGTTATGAATCATAAACCATTCAGAAAGATAAATGTTATTTTTATGCGAAAAACGAAGGTTACGTTTTTTCTTCCAAACAAATTCAAACGTTTCGTATTTGTGAGTCATTAAACAAATGCGCTACGATATTCGAAAAACATCCGTTACTATACAAGTATATACATTTCAAAAAAAAGTGGATGTGGCTATCATCTTTTGTTGCGAATTACTCACAAATACGAAATGTTTGAATTTGTATAGAAGAAAAATCGTAACCCATCATTTTTTGCACAAAAATAACATTTTTCTTCCGGAATGCATGCGATTTATATCGGCGAAGTAAACTAGTGTATTTTGCTATAAAATGCCATCTGAACTAACCCTGTATACAGGTGTTTTGGAATAAACAATTAGAAATTCTTAAAAACTACTTGACTAATCTACTCCAATTTTGTTGTGGTTATTTAGAAGTACAAATCCTACGAATTTTAAGAATTTCAAATATCTGCGAGAAACCATCGTCGCATTACCAACAAGTGCCAGTACCTGCAGTTTGCCTCGGTTTTCAGCGATAACTTTTTTGCTATTAGTCGGATCTTTTTACGTGAGGTCTCATTTTGTAGTTCTCATTCATGCCTAAAAATCCTAAATGAAGAGTTTTTTCGTTCCTGCCAACACTTTCGATTGAATCCCAAAAAACGCGTTTTCTCATTCTTTTTTGTCGAATAAAAAGTTTTCTTACAGAAATTAGTGTACCCATTTTATGCGGCCATGTTTTGAATACCCCCTTGAACAACTTGCAGCAATAAAACCAGACTTTACAATTATAACGCAAGCCAGGGGTAGTTTCGTCTAAGATGATTAGACTAAAAATCATGCTCTACTTTATCAATATATCATACCAATGTAAAATGTTTCTTTATTCCGTTAATCATTTTGTTCTAATTTAAAGTTTATTAAACATAACTTTCGTTTATTGAGCAGTACAATTATTGTACCATTTTATCAGCTCACTGTAAACTCATTGAAGGAACTCATATTTATCCATTTATCCTTTTCTGTATGATTTCATATGAAGAATAGCAACCGTTGAAAATAAAATATCATGACATGCAGACAATCAATGGATTATATGTTTCCATTTTAGCTCTTGATAGCGACATAATTGTTTAGTCCTTCCAAAAAGTTATATAATTAATAAAAACATTCTAAACGAGTTTATCCATATTTTTTATTTTGAACATAATAACAGCTTAACGAATATTTTTTACATTATTGTATTTCAGATGGAGGCGCTACCTGTATGTTCAATATGCAACAAATTAATAACATCTGATCTGAGGATTGTCAAGTCCAAAGCCATTCTCAGGATAATAGATGCCAGTAAAAGAAGACAAGATGGAAAATTTAAAATTATTGAAAAGTGTTCGGAGGTCAGGATTCGTATCAACTGCCACGGCAATTACATCAGAGACAGGTGTATCCAGGCGACAGAACGGTCAGTGAAGAAGACAAGCAATTCAAAACGCGGGGCTCCTACGTTTGACTTTAAACAAGGGCATTTCTTTTGCGAGACGGATGCCTCTAATGCTTACATTGACAAAACCAAAAAGATATCCAGATCGCTATCTGACTGTACATTCTGTGAGGGACGGCCAAGTAAAAATTAATTTTTTAAACAAAATTTCAACTCAATTAGCTGGCGATGTCTTAGAAGAGAATTTATGCGAATTCTATGATAAAGTAAAGCAGTGTATAACGAATATTAACTTAGAAAATTAAGAAGTTACCAAAAATGTATGATTTTTCGTGAAACTACAGGTGGGTTCGCCACTTGATAGAAGCAACCTGAACAAAGAAAAGGGTGCGTGGAAAGGGCGTCCGATATTCTTCGCGAAGATATCTGCGCCAAATGTTAAGATATTCAAAATTATCCATCACCAGATAGCTTTTTATTTAATGTTGACAGTGACTTACCTGAAACACTGGAAATTTTATTATATAGGCTCATCAACTCTAATAAGAAATCACAACCAAATCCGAAAAAATGGGACAATCGAATTTCCATAATTGCACATATGATAATCGCGTCTGTAGGTCCCCGTTCTTTTGTCTCATCAGTTTTATTGGGGCTTTCTTTATTGGTGCACAAAAAACATGCATAAAAACCTAATAGATTCATTATCATACATTGGTGTATGCGCTACATATCAAGAAGTACAAAAATTTGAAGCAGCAATTGTGTCCGATCCTACTAGCTATAACCTTGAAAATGATAATATACTATTTTATTCCGTTGAGGGAGTTCCACCGTAGACAGCACCCGGACCTTACAGTGTTACAATTAAAAATTTAATGGAGGCAAGTCGAGCTCCTCAATTGATTAATACCACACCTGCCGATTTTTTGTGGTTCCTTGCGAAATCTGTCGAATCTAAAACAATCGGAGGCTGGAAAAGTTTTATGTAAATTTTTATTCCAGTTAAGCCTTTCAGCATGTCCAAAATTATTCCAACTTCATTTGTGCAGGCGCCCCTAGCGGCTATGACACTATATATACAGTTTTGCTACAAGCATCGGAGAAGTATTTAGTCCAAAAACAGAACAAGATTATGGTGACATTTGATCAACCTCTGTGTTATAAAGCACGCGAAATACCTGTGATGACGGAAAGATGCTGAGCAATGTGTTTGTACGCTTAGGTGGGTTTCATATGCTGATGTCATTTCAGAGTGCGATATGCTTTATCATAGATGGCAGTGGCTTAATGGAGACCTTCTGTGTGCTATATGCTGAATTATCAGCGGAAAAAGCTTTAACCGCTCATGCATATTCTAGAGCTGCAAGGCGTCATATTTTAGTACAAAATGCGCTGGCCAAAATTATTTTAACTTCTATAAACATAACAGAAAGTGAAAAAAAAGATGTACTGTCTGTGATAGAATCTGTTGGTAATACGGAATTCGATAATCAACTAAAAACAGAAAGCCTCCAAAATTCTTGCAAAAAAAATTGAGCAGCAATTACGTATTTTAAAAGAAAACGGACCAACCGCAGCTTTGTGGGTGCAATATTAGGAGATGGTGGAAATTGTAAAAAAAAACATTTTAGCGGAACGTACAGGTGATTTTCAATTGCATGTTGAAACCATGCAAAAACTGTTACCCTACTTCCACGCTAGTCGTCATAATAAGCTTTTTAAATTGGAACCACATCCATCAAAAATATCGTATGAAACAATTTTGGTGATATCAAGTGGCCAAGGAAAAATAAAGTAATCGCCTTAAATGCAGTGAAGGCATCAGTAAAAGTTGATGATATCATAACTGTGGATCCCACTACTATTTTTCAAAGGTTGTCATTAAGTATTGAAAGTAAATGCGATATGAAGAAATACTTAAGTTCCGAATTAGCGCCGAATCCGCTCTCACTATTCGATAGTGGCGGTATGCGAAAAAACAGAAGGCGCTATTTTTCAACAATTTTAATGGTGTAACTAACGTTAATTTTCAGGAAAATGATAAATATGTTATTTATGGTGGTTTCCAGTTACATAAAGTCAGATGGGATAAACTAACCATTAAATCGATTACTCGCAAATACGTTGACTATTCAAAAAGTTGTATAGTGGTATTTGACGGTTATCCAACAAACGATGATATAGGTACAAAGTCAGCCGAAAGGTTGCGAAGGCAAAACAGAAACTTAGGGTCGAAGGTGCAATTTGATGATGCTACCACTACATTCCAAAGCCAAGAAAAATTTCTGAGTATAGATAATAAGAAGGTTCGCTTAATCAAGTTTCTGTGAAGAGCTGGACAGGCGTGGCTGTTGTGGTGTTGTAACAAATGAGGATGCGGATGTTTTAATTGTAGAAACTGCAATTGAAGAATCTAATACAAATTTTAGCACCTGGATTGTAAGAGAGGATATTTATTTGCTTGTGATTATGACTCAACTTGATGCCAAAGAAAATATCTATCTACTAAAACCTGGCAAAGGCAAAACAGTGGGCAAAATTTATAACAGCAATAGTTTCAAACACCCCCAATTAAAACATCTGTGTGCTTTCATAGACGCTATGATAGGATGTGATACCACATCCTGCTTCTTTGATAAGGGAAAGAACAAGATAATAAAACGTCTGGAAAACGATAATAATTTGCAAACACTGGCAGCAGCATTCAATAATAAATACCAAATTCCTGATGTAATCTCTACCTACGGCCTGATAATAATCTTGCATTTATACAAGATAAGTGAAGGATCGCTAAAGTTAAATGACAAGCGTTATGACTATTTTAGGAAAAGGTCAGCTATTGGGAAGGTAAATCTCGAATGCCTCCCATCTACCGAAGATGCAGCTGCTCAGCACAGCCTTCGAGTGTATCTGCAAGTGCAAACTTGGTTAGGGGAGGGCAAAAATGTAAGCCCTTGGGGGTGGAAGAGATAACAATTAATACTTGAGCCCATCTACTCAGATGAACCATCCCAGCTGACATACTACAAAAAAATTCTTGCCGTTGCGTGAAAAAGTGCCATAGAAATGTGTGTTCGTGCAAGAAGTACGGACTGCATTGCAGTAAATTGTGCTTCTCATGCATTGACAATGCGTGTGAGAATTTGCAGTCATCAGACTCATTCAACGTCGACGACGTAAATATAGATACCAATGAAGATATTATGTGCTGTCCACTGCAAATGACAATGTCCGTTGCACAACATTGTTGGTAAAGTAGTAGTGGTGGGGAAGCGAAGCTTGGTAACAAGACCATCTCTAACCCTATGTACCGACCTCGTAGTTTCAACACTTTACTACACCACAAATCACCTACTGGTAACTGATTATTGAATTCGCGAGCGCCGGGTCGACCGATAGCTAGATCTACGCGCTAAACACTCGGCTATAGTGAACATATAAGCTATTCTTTACCACAGAAAAGACTCTTCTCTACTTAACTGAATCGTGTAATCTGTAATCGTAAAAGCTGCTAAGGTAATACTTTACAGGTTTTACGAATAAATTCTGTTTTCATAAAGTTAAAAATTGCACGCGAAATTTACAACATAATGAAAACAGAAGTTCTTCGTAAAACCGGTAACTTGAATTCCATCTGAATTAACGTCTCGAATATAACCTTAGAACTCAAAAGCTGCAGTATCCTGGGAATCATTTTGAATACCAGTCTCCCTGGAAGCATTTGAAGAAGTTCGACATTCGGGTACGACATTTAGTAAGAGCTGTATTACTGACTTATTGAGACTTTCAACCATAAGTAAACACGATTCTTATCGCTTTAGATAAGCTCCGATAATTAATAATTTTAGGAATATGATAATGATAAGAAAGGATTTCTTTTAGAAGTCAAGCAACGTACAAAAAACATTGCTAAAATGTATCTTAGCATTTCCTAAATGCCAGGACTGCCGTTTAATTACTATTTATTGTTTTTTGTAATGTAATTAGTTGTATTATCAATATGATTCTATTAAGCGAATTCAAACCCTGAAGCTTATCCCGTGATTACCAGAATGATGCACTTTTAGCAATATGGCATTTTAAAAAGTGTATCAAGATAATTAAATCAAGGCCAACGCAAACGTTTCAACCTTTTACATACTGTTGAAATCAGTACGTATAATCTAAACTGACCATATATTGGACACGTGGTAAGTTGTGGGAATTGCACCATTATATTCTATTATAACAATGAAATATATATTCTCGATTGAAATAATGTATTCATTCATGGTAGTGCTACGAAACTCCAGTTAAAATCTGTATACGCTGTATACAACTATACAACGCTAAACTGCCAAACGATTTTTGACAGGTGATGTCAGACATAGGCCGCTTTAAGCAACTGCCTTCTCTAACAGCTTTACAAGAGCACTGCAAAAAGTCGCATGAAGCGTATGCGGGTGAAGCTGGGTTAAACACAATGTATCGACAGTCATACCATACAAACGTTCTCGACTAACAAGAGTCTGCCTGTTGGCCAGGTTGGCGATTACTCAATTACAGGAGTGGATCTAGAAAATGTTTTTTTTTTCTGGGAGGAGGGATATGAAATTACCTCCTCAAAAAATACTGGGAGGGGAGAGGTTCAGGATTCATGTTCAGTCCTTATCGGGGGGCGAATGAAAATTGAAGAGTGGGGGATCGGCGATTTAAAATTCAATAGCGCGAGGGGGGGGTGTTGTCTACAATTTGAAATTTGAAAAATAACGTATGTTTTTCGAATATCGTAGCGAATCAGTTTAATTACTCACAAATAGGAAATGTTTGAATTACACAAGCTTATTGCTTTTGTGGTTTTCCTGTTTGTTTACTATACTAAACTGTGTACGCTTTTATATTGTTTACAATATTATCGTTATTATCGTTTAGAAGAAAAAAATGTAATCGTTTGTTTTTCGCGTAAAAACAACAATTATGTTTCAGAATGGTTTGTGATTTATGTCAGTAAGGTAAACTCGTGTATTTTGCTATATATGCCTTTTGAACGAACAATGTATATTGCTCAGTAAACTAGTAGTGATGACCGGAAGACAGGTGTTTTGGGATAAACAATTAGAAATTATCAAAGACTACTTGAGCAATCGACTCCAATTTTGTCGTGGTTACTCAGAAGTATGAAGCCTACGGATTTGCAGAATTTCAAGTAGCTGCTTGAAATTATCGTGGCATTAGCAGCAAGTG